AAGGGCGTGCAGCAGATCCAAGCTACCATGTCGGCTTTTGCTGCCATTCTGCGCGATGGGTCCGTTGTGACCTGGGGCAATGCAGCCCGTGGTGGTGACAGCAGTGCCGTCCAGCATTGGCTTAAAGACGTGCGGCAGATCCAAGCAAGTTTGGTGTCGTTTGCTGCCATTCGGGGCGATGGGTCTGTTGTGACCTGGGGCCGTTGTTTCAGCGGCGGCGACAGCAGTGACGCACAACATCGGCTGCAGGACGTGCAGCAGATCCAAGCTACCGACTTCGCATTTGCAGCCGTTCTGGGCGATGGGTCCGTCGTGACCTGGGGTGATGAAGGCAGCGGTGGCGACTGCAGTCATGTGGAAGACCAGCTCAAGGACGTGCGTCAGATCCAAGCTACCAGCGATGCTTTTGCTGCCATTCTGGGCGTGGGTCTGTTGTGACCTGGGGCGATGATGGCCGTGGTGGTAATAGCAGGGCCGTCCAAGGTCAGCTGAAGGACGTGCAGCAGATCCAAGCATCTCCGTTTGCCTTTGCTGCCATTTTGGGCAATGGCACCGTGGTGACCTGGGGAGACAGCGACAGCAGTCTTGTCCAAAATGAGCTGCAGGGTGTGCAGCAGATCCAAGCCAACGGCTCGGATTTTGCTGCAATTCGTGTCGATGGTTCTCTTGTGACCTGGGGCCAGAAGCAACGCTGACGACTTTGTAGGAACAGAAGCACAGCGTTTCTGCAGCGTCAACGCCCTTTGCCACAATCTCTAGCTTGAGGCAGCGACCGTTTGCAAGCATTTGTTTTGCAGGCTGCAGACAAACCGCGAGGTGATATCGTTTGCAGAGACCTTGTCTTGACATTCTTACTATGGCATTTACCCACTTTGAAACTGGTGTCTAAGCCCTGTGTCAATATCCAGCTTTGAAAATTCAAGCGGCTTCTGCCTCGCAAAAGACTAGCAGAGTGGCATATGTCGTCATAGACATTGGACTCGAGCGGGGTCATTTGTGAATCCCGCTCTAGGCATCCATTGAGGTCCTGGCTGTCGACAATCCATGAAGTGCACATGTTTCCAATAATGGCGTCGAAGTGCTTTCGGTAGGAACATGCTTCCCAGGATCTCATTCTTTTCTTTTCAGCTTGGGTATGTCAGGTGCCCGGAAGCAACAGCCTCCGGGGGAAGTTCGAAAAGCACTTCCTGTGCCCTGACATCTTAAGTTCAACACCAGAAACGAAGATTTGCGACGTCGTCCTGCAGAATGAGTGCAGGCCACAGACGCCCAATGCCGCAAGCCGCCCGGAACCCTATGTAACATCCAACCTAAAAGCCTATAACCGGTCGAGCTGCTTCCCTGGTCGTGTCCTCTGAGAGTCTAAGATGAGGGCGTGGCCGGTGCACTGGTCCACAATTGCCGAAAAAGGCACGGAATCAATCCAGGCCTCCTGCGAACATTAAGGGTATGTTTTAAAGGGTTGTTGCACTTGAGCATGTGTCAGTCGCAGGTGACTCGAGGCTTGCATGTGATCCTCTTCCGATGATCGGGGTGTGAGAGAGCTGCAACCCTGTGGAAGCTGCTCCACAGCTATCATGCTGACTGTCGCTCCGAAGCGGCTAGCCGCAATGCTGCATGCAATGTCATGGTGGCCCATATTGCATACACCCTCTATTTGTGTTGCTTGTGGTCTGAGTCAAAACGCGCGGACCCTTGTGGCAGCAGGATGTTCGAGTTCTTTCAACTGCTTACGGCTTCATTGGCGCAGCAGCAACATCCTCCGGAAAACCGGAATCTTTGTCTGGGGCTCGTGCCCCAAATTCTTCGCATGGCAGGGCGTATTCGAAGCCTGGGGATCGACCCCTGGAACGGAGGCACTTGTTGGGGCCTTGACACGAACAAGGGGACTTGAGCGAGAATGGAGGATTTTTGGTCAGGGCCCCAAACGGCACAGGAAGGGAGGAAGCTGCTTTTTCCCTGAAAGAGTCTGTGCAGAGCTTCCGTTCCTTTGGGGCTGTTCTCATGGAATGCGTCGGTGATGCGTCAGATGCCGTGGCTCATGGCAGAAAACAAGTTGCAGCACCTCACAGGGTTACTTAGGGGTTAAAACCAAGTGTCGATCTTCCGAAATCGGCTGTTTCGTGGGGTTCTGGTACACCTTAGGTCCTAGATTAGTGGCGCTAGCTGTGCGATGAAAAGAGTGAGGGGTGGAACAGGGGCGACGAGTACGGGAGAAACCCGACAAGGGTGGCAAGACAAAGCCAATTGGTAGCGCAGCCTTATTAGAGCTTGGCTATGCTTAATGACTGGCTTGGGTCGTTCAGGTGAGCCCAGATTCTGCGTGAGCCGGCAAACCCTGAACAAACTGAAGCCCTGAACCATCTCTACCAGGATGGACTATTTTTGGCCTTATCTTCCCCATAATCAACCCTATAAAAGGGCCTTTGTTAAGGGGTATATATCATCTCATGGCCCATGCTGGTACCAGTAGCATCAGTCTACAGCTTTCAACAGCCAACTGAATCGAGGATGCAGCGGCCCATGGCTGCCAGGGCCTTGGATGCTGTTGTCCTGGGACGCTTTCGGTGTGGCCCGGAGATTCCCTGGCCTATACGGCGGTAGGGTTTAGGGTTTAGGGTTTTGGGGTTTAGGGTTTTAGGGTTTTAGGGTTTAGGGTTTAGGGTTTAGGGTTTAGGGTGTTCTCGGCTGCCTTTTGAAGGGCAGAGGAGAAGGGGTTTTGGAGTCCCAAGGCCTTGGAAGCCCCTCAAATCGGCCTCGTTACAGCTGGCATGTCGAAGTTCAGGAACACTAGGTTTAGGGTTTAGGGTTTAGGGTCTAGGAGTCAACATGGTCATGTGATCGAGATGTGCTGACGGCCTTATGTAAGGCCGGGTGGCATTTGCAAGCCCTAAGTTTTGTGGGAAAGCAAGTGTTCAAAGTGCGAATCTCTGCTAAGCACTGTAAACACTCACCCTGCCACATTTTGGCGATGAACCTTCTAGCCATTCTAGCCCAAGCCCCGCAAATCCTGAGCTCTAAAGCCCTGAATCCCTACTCCACATGGGGTACCTTCGAATTCAATGTCGACTTGGCATGATTTGGTCTTTGTGCTTTGGCGAGCTGAATGAATATCCGAAAGTTCGGCGTTGCATTAAAACAAAAGCCCAAACACCATACAAAATCCTTTTGTTGGGGTTGGGACTTTTAAAACGTCTGGGGCGCGGGACTAAAGCCACGCGAAAGTCAAGCTGGATCCAGCACGCAAGATGCTCTCCGGACTTTCCGGGGCATCTTGGATCATGGATCTATAGGACAAACAAATGTATCTTTGGGCACGCGCGTGCATACACAGACGCACACATGCACATGTGCACGCACACAAGCACGCACGCAGCCCCCCCCCCCCCCCCCAACACCCACACACGTAAACACACGTAAACACACGTAAACACACGTAAACACACGTAAACACACGTAAACACACGTAAACACACGTAAACACACGTAAACACACGTAAACACACACACACACACACACACAGACAGAGACAGAGGCACGAGCGCACCTGCGGCCACACCGCGCACGCGCGCGCACGCGCACGAAGTCACACAGAGACACACAGACTCACACGGAGACGCGTGCAGAAACAAATGCACAAATGCACACATGCAAAGCAACCCCTCTCAAGAAGGGTTTGGAGGGCTTCATCGCGCTTGGGAAGAATCAGAGACGTTCACGTCTTCAAGATACCCGCAGCCCCCAACCCTTCGCCACTGTTATCGTGCATAGGAAGCATATTTCAGGCTCGGAGCTACTAAGCCGCTCAGCTAAGCGGGATTAAAGGCCAAGGCGTTCGTGATTGTGCCCGTTCGGGCTTATTATGCTTCGAAGCACGCAGACGGAATCACAAGCCTTGTCTAGGCCTTGGCAACTACATCCCAACATCAAGATTCATTCCTCGAGCGTGATCCTGAAGCTTCCTCCAACTTTGTGTGGGTTTTGAGGGTTTAAGTTCAGGATCTACGTTTAGTTTACCCACCGGGGGGGTTTACGAAAATAAGGGCCCCCGAAGAACATAGAACCCCCAAATAGTAGGGCTTCCCTCAGAACACCCCCACATGTCTCCAAGATGGGTCAGCCACTTCGGTGAGTTCGTTGCGGGCGCAAGGGCGGATGGCCTGATCTGAGGGGGCCCAACCAGGGGCTCCAAAAGAGGAGTTCGAACAGTCGCGGGCCTGAAAAAGGGGGAGGGTTACTCATAGTATTCCCTTATAGGGTTCCTCCATGATTATACTAGAAGAACCCCCAACCCCTACACTAAATCCTATAAGGCGCAGGATGTTGGATTTGAGGCTTCATGCAGGCATTCATTCTCAAGAGGTCCCGACTCCGTGCTGCCGTTTTTAAGTAGACAGGCGCCTTTGCACCAGATAGATTTGCCAACGCCTTAGTTGAAATTGCTAGGTGTCCAGCTGCCTCTCGAGAAAAAAGGGGCGTGCCAGCATTTTTGAGATGAATCCTAGAGCCCTGTTGTGTAGGCTTACATGCTGATCTGCGCACCAGGGGCAGCCCTAATGGGCTGTGAAGCGACAGGACTCAGCAGAGGACTCTCAACAGATATTGTGCGTCGCCACTGGTTTAGATGCAGAACCCTCCGCTCGGCCATGAGCCGCTCCCGAAACCTGGACCTTCGCTTTGCATGTTGAGGGCTCCTTAGGTTAGGGAGTTGAATTCTTAGGGTTTAGGGTTTAGGGTTTAGGGCCTTTCGTAAGGTTTCATTGCTGTAGGTTGAGCCTATCAGGACTTGTCACTTCGCCACGCAGGGCTTCGCAACTTCCAGCATGGGCCATTATACCCTATAACCCCTGAGAAAAAAAAAGGCCCTTTCTAGGGTTGATCATGGAAGGTTCTAGAGCCCTAAACCCTAAACCCTAAACCCTAAACCCTAAACCCTAAACCCTAAACCCCAAGCCTCCTGGTTCTCATGGCCCCCAACGAAGCACCCGAAGCCACGCAGGGCCAGCCCGACCGAAGCCGGGGAGTCCTCGACCTACCTGGCCCAGGAGGCCGAGGCAAGTCCCCGGTTCAGCAGGGGGTTTAGGGTTTAGGGTTTAGGGTTTAGGGTTTAGGGTTTAGGGTTTAGGGTTTAGTAGAATCCCCCTAACCAACCCCTGCACCTTTTTCAGGGGGTTGTAGGGTATAAGAGCTATCAAGGGCCTTAACTTGAGGGGTTTCTAGGGTAGAATAGCCCATGCAGGTGTTCAGAGGCTTCGGGAGCCCGCTGAAAGCCTCCTTAGCTTCTCACTGGGTCAAAGGCAGTGTCAGTTGCCTTAGGTACGCATCCCGCAGCTTCGATCAGCTGACGCTCGTAAGATTTGAAGGGGTCTTGGGTTCTGGTTGCGGTTCATGAAGCCGACGTCAGTGCGCCTAGCGCAGTCCCGGTGAAAGCTAGATTGGAGCTGTTAGCCCCAATCGCGCAGGTGGTCTCGCTGCCTCACCACCGTAACTACATGTAGCCCGAAACCCTAAACCCTAAACCTTGAGAAGCCTGGGAGACATGGAATATCGTTCAAATGTGGTTTGTCCTGGAAAGCTCTCCGAAACATCTGAAGCGCCATGAATGCTTGAAGGGTCCCCCAACCACCTCGGAGGAGCCCTTGCCGGCCACGCCGACATACACCGCCGACTCGCCCGAGCTGCTTGGTGCATCTAAGGGTTGAGGGTTTAGGGTTTAGGGTTTAGGTTTTAGGCCCTGTATTCCCCCGGTAATCAACCTTCTAAAGGGCCTTTTTAAGGAGTTCTAGGCCATAATGGCCATCATCAACCCTGTAAAAGGGCCTGTTTAAGGGGGGTTATAGGGTATAAGAGCCCATGCCGCTCAGGGCTGTTCTTGTTAAGGATACGTTCGGAAGCACTTTGTAAGTTACTTAAGTCCGTGGGGGCAGAGCATGGGAGTCAAATCCAATACCAATCCCAGGTTTCAGGAGGAGAACGAGCCGGAGACGCCCACACTCGAGGCCGGCCGTGAGGTTGTGGCGACGGCGTCGTTCCTTGAAGCTTGCACCTTATAGCCTCGGATCCCCAGCATATTGATACCCTGCAGCCCCCTAAACAAAGGGCCCTTTATAGGGTCGATGATGAGAATTCTAGGGCCAATCATGGCCCATCCTGCCCGCTTCAGCTCAGAGCCATGAAGCCCTCAAGTATCATGTCTTTTCCCCTTTGCCATCACTCGCGCCAATTCCGACTCCTCACGGTGAAGTCCTCTCCTTAGCATGCCTCAGCCCTATTACAAAACCCTAAGGTTGGGATGTTCCCCCTTACACTAACAGTCCTTAATGGGGATTAGAGTACCCCTAGGTTGCAATCCCTATTAAGGAGCTGTTCGTATAAGGGAGAACATCCCAGACCCGAAGCCGAAGATTTCAGCTTCAAGCCTTTCAGCCCGACGACGAAGAGCTCTATGAGTGGGAGGAGGAGCTTGCCAAGTCAGGCGTCGCTCTGAGTCCCGGAGTTGGAGGGTTTAGGGTTTAGGGTTTAGGAGGCTTCAGTATACTTCGTGCATGTGCGGGCCAAGAAGTGGTTCATGTATCCAACGGGTTTAGGGTTTTGGGTTTGGGGTTTAGGGTTTAGGGTTTATAACGGCTGAAGGTTTGAATGCTCGGTGCCCGTGCTCCTCCCACACTGCAACCAGAACACAAACTGAAGCCACCAGCCTTCCTGTAGGTTCAGCAAGGGTCTGCAACGTTCGGGTGCTCGTGAAAATCGAGAAGTGTCACATGCAAGCTTTCAAGAACCTAGGGTGAAAATGCCTGTTCAGGAAAAATACCAAGCAGCTTCCTGCACGTAAGAGGCAAAGCCAAAGCCGTGCCGAAACACTTTCAAGAAGGTCAACTGACATGGCCATGAACTCTCTTAACTTGTTTTGGTAGCTAGGTCTCCCCTCGCAGCACTTGCAGAACCTTCTCAACATCTGCCAGCTTGTAAACAACGTCTTTAGGCACCCGAACGTAGCCTACGTCCTGCAAGCAGGCTTTCCCATAAAGCAGTGCACTTCTCAACCGTTTAGGCGGTGCACTTCCGGGCATCATTGTTGACGTCAACGTGGTCAGGCTCATCCGCAACCCTTACGTAACATCTGGTTCTATATCCGCCTTGGGAATTATTGTTTTTTGTCGTTCATATAAAACCCAAGAGGATATTGACAATAATATGCTTATTAAGGTCCTAAGGGGAGTATAGGGTTAACCCTAGGCCACTTCAGCCTGAAAAATCAGGGTTGGTATTCTAAGAGACTTGAGGACTTCAACGTTCATGCGAGGGAGCGACCTTGTTGCCTAAGCCGATTCGCCTGAGCAGTTCACATGCAATTTTTGAGGGCGAGGAGGTCAAAGACTTAAGCTACAGAACTCCGGAGGTGAACAGATTCACTGGACCTACTCTAGGTAGGCCTTTGGGACATTTTGATATTTTCCCTTACTGGCTTTAAGAGGATCATATTCAGGAATTATTTTTCAGAGGGTTTTAAGGGCCGTCCTAGTATTGAACTCCTCTCGCAAAAGATCGACGCGGTCTTGTTGGTTCATCGGCCAGCATGTCAAGAGCACGGACATGAAGATGAGCTCACTCAGCACAAAACCCTGCCAACCAGGATGGGCGATTAGGCCCTATAATTCCCAGAATTAACCCTACAAAGGGCCTTTTTAAGGGGTTATAGGGCATAATCAGGCCCTATAATTCCCGGAATTAACCTTCTAAAGGGCCATGTTAAGGGGTTCTAGGGTACAATAGCCCATGCTGGAAAGGCACCAGTAGCACAAGCTCGTTTGCCAAGACGTCCCAAAGGCAAAGCCCAAACCTGTGGCGACGGAAAGTTGCAGCGTAGATGCCCGCAACCGAGTAACAGGAAGAGGCCAGCACCCGAATTTTTAGGGTTTAGGGTTTAGGGTTTAAGGACCAACTGCTCCACTCCTTCAACCTAGTGCCAACACCTGAAGCCTGGATACCGAATCGAAGGGCTACTACACCCCATAACCCCCAAATTATAGGGTTCTGAGCTGTTATACCCTAGAATAACCCCTCAAAAAAGCCCTTTATAGGGTTGTGGGCTACTATACCCTATAATAACCCCTTAAAAAGGCCCTTTATAGGGTTGGTTAGGGGGAGTATAAGGCCTCATAGCCCATGCTTGTAAGGGGCAAAAGACTCGCAGGGGGGGCGAGCCTGAGCACTTGGATGCTGCGCAGCTGGCGCAGCTGCTCGGGGGCTCAGAGTTTAGGGTTTAGGGTTTAGTGGCACAAGGTATGAGCCGGCTTGCACGCTTGGTTGTTCAGGGTTTAGGGTTCAGGGTTTGAGAAAAATTGCACCGGCGTTGTGGCTGAGACATTGCTTTGAAGCTCTACATAAGTCATGTCGTGGTCATGATTGCAGCTTCACCTGTCGTTTCGCAGTATGTGTCTGCTGGGCACTGCTAGTCTGGTACGGAGCAGTGACGCAGATTGGATTGCTCCGCTTTTTAGGGTTTGAGGCCGGGGGTTTTGGGGCTTCTTATCAAGGACTCTCACACCTTGAAGGGCTTCGTGTCTTGTGGCTTGGGGTTTAGGGCTTAGGGTTGGCGCTTCCGGTGCTACCTACATAAGAGCGTCTCGATCCAGCAGGGATCCCGCCGTCGTGCAAGCACTGCTCCACGTTTGTTTCTGGCACACAGGCTCGCAATGAGTTCTGGAATACAAACTTGTCCCAAGCATCTTCGGGGCCAAGGCGTGCGAATTGTCTGTACAAAACTAGCCTCTCAGAAGATATGTAAGTCTTCAAAATAATCGCAGAGGTGGATAGCCACTGAAACCGATAATGCTTAGGTCGCCCGTGGAGCTGGCTCGGCGCCTTGCAGCGCCCGGAGCATGAAGCTCAGTGACTTATTTATATGTAACCCCTTAAATGGTATATATATATATATATATGTTTTAATCCCTTAAAGGGTATGTATAAATATATATATATATATACTCCCTAAGGGCACTTTGGGGAGCGATTTGTGAAAGAAGTTGCACTGAGCAAGTTTGGGTCAGATCCAGGCAACAGCTCATTTGAGGATCCCTGGAATGTTCTGCCGGGTTCTTCATGTGTACTGTAGGGTTGAAAGGTTGGGTTGGGGCTGTTGTGGTTTTGGGCCGAGGGTCTTTAAACGCGCCTGCCAACATTCCAAAAGAACTCGTGCACTGCAGCACGTGGGAATCAGACACTCAGAGGAGCCCATACAGGCTTCAAACCCCTCTGACAACTTGGAGACACCACTGCCTGCCTCATACCGTTGACGGTCAAGTGACACATTCAAGTACAGCCTGCCCTCCGCATCCCCCTGCCCTACGAATCCCTAAATCTTCAAACTCCCAAGCAAGAGCTAGACAAGGTGTCGGTATGCAACTCAGGCTCGAAAATGCAAAGCCTTCATCCCACAACACCTTTAACGTCTTAAAATGGCCCTTCAAGAAGCCACATGTCCGAAGACTGTGCAGGCTTCTAAAGGTCCGAAGCTTCACTTTTCAGGCCTTGCTTGCCGCGCGAGCGCAGGGCCTCATGACGATGGCACGGACACCAGCAGCAGTGAACCCAGCTGAATGCTTCGGGAGAGTATATGGACTTTCAAAAGGCGTTTTGGGCTGAAGGTTTAGAGTTTTTGGAGAGAAACTGGACCCGGCAGGCATCTACTTCTAGCACTGATCGAGCCGAGTCCGATGGCGCTTTGGGTTTGGGAGTTGTGGGCTTTGGGGTTTAGGGCTTAGGGTTTAGGATGTTCCTGCCGTTGATGCGGTGTGTCTTTGATTGGGAGGGCGTCAAGAGTCGACATGGATAGAAAGATGCGTGTCGTCATCGCTTGTTGCTCACGATCGCCTACGTAGCGTCTTCGGCCACAGCAGATTTCCGGATTATGATCCCGATTATGGAGCATCTTTGTTAAGTCATGTCCGGGTCCTGTTGAGGAATATACGGATTCGGGTGAGAGTAGTGTGGGATTAGAGCATTAGAGGGTTACGGGCCTTGTGGGGGATATTGGGTTTAGGGACATTGCAAGCCCTGAGTTTCAATATTTGAACCTGCAACCCTGCTCATGCTGGTAAAGTCATGCAGAAAGCTCCAATTACCCAGATCTTCCAAAACCCTTTAATTAAGGTATATACCCTAATTCATAATAAGGACCCTTAGTAGAAATTGGGGTATATTCCATAATTAAGGGGTTTTGGAAGATCTGGGTAGTTGGCCCTGAGGCTAAGGCGGCTAAAGCGGATAGTCGCCTTCCACACTTTCAAAACAGAAGCTTGTGGTGTCCCCGCAAAGGCTCTGAGCTAGCTTCGGGGCTTTCTAGGGGCTTTGAAAGGTCTTCTCAGGTGTCCTATAGGTACCTAAACCCTAAAGCCTAAACCCTAAGCCCTAAACCCTAAACCCTAAACCAAAAAACAAAACCTAAACCCTAAACCCTAGACCCTTTGGGGCGTTTCGGACATCATCTCTCAATGCCCGACGATGACTCACTCGTCCACGCCCATGGGCCAGTCGGATATAGTGGGGTACCTGGCTGAGGCCAACTTAGGGTTTTGGGGTTTGGGGTTTGGGGTTTAGGGTTTAGGGTTTAGGGGACTTGCGACATTGTGAAGACTCCATGCGGGTTCTTTGTTCGTTCTTGCAGGTTCTTGGAGCACAGGCACCCCATAGTGTTTTGAGAACCTTGGGCTAGCTGCTAGCTGTCTCTTGCCCACAATGTAGGTGGGCGTTAAGCTGCACAGAAAGCCCTGAGGCCTGAATCATCTGAATCCCCCAAAGCTAGGTGGTGCGGCTCCCTGGCATGGAGCCGCCAACGCCGAGCTACGACCCCGACGAGGATGGGTTTAGAGTTCGGTGGTCATACAATTTACTTTAGCCTTGGGGGATTTTAGGTTCCGGGATGTTTTCCTGATTTGCATGTTCTGGGGCCAGGTAGGCGGAACCGCAAAGCATTGGTACGCGAAGCTCAGCGCTTCGGACCCCTTGGTAAGCCTCAGTAGACTTGACCAAAGTTGATAGAAGTTGAAGACCAGCAGCTGCTTTATGGGTATTTTCCAAAATAGGATACCCCTTTTATACCCCAAATAGAAAAGAATCCCCTTAAGGGGAGCCCTCAAAAAGGGTACCCCTATTTTCAGAAACCCCCATATGGCTACCGAGCCCCCAAACCCAAACCTTCGCCGACACCCGCAAAGCCTCAGCCCGAGATCCATCAACGCGCTATTCTGGACAGAATCCTTTATCAACCTGAACATCATATAAGAATAGTCATAATAATAGTAATCATAATAATCATATAATATAATAATAGTAATAATCATAATAATAAGAATGATGATATCAACAATAATAATAATAATAACCATGCCCTTACACCACAGCCCCAAGCCGAAGCAGCCTCCGATGCAAAGCTGTCGAGTTCGACTTCAGGAAGACGAAGACTTCCAGCTGCTTCACGAGGAGCCGTCCGAGGACGTCTACGTGCCGCCAACCCAGCTGATCCGAGAGCTGCATCGAGTCAGAACAATCTAAGCCCTCCCGGGTTAAACCAGCGCAGAGTTCATGCGAGGATCCTCAAGGACCTTGAATCCCTGCGCGCGGGAACACAGTGGGGAACTCCAACAATGGGTGGACGGCCCACGGTTTTCAGGCCCCACAGTCGAGCCATTGCCCATCCTATAACGATTGCTGATCCTTCGGCCCTGAAGCCAAGCATCCCCCGACACCGAGAGAAACCCGATGCAAGGAACCGGCATGATTTTCACGTGGAAAATTGTCCATAACGACCTCCACAGAGAAACGGGTGTTAAAAAAGCATGTTTATTCAAGAAATGCAGAAACGGATGGGTTTCCATCCAGTCTCTCTTTTCTCTCTCTCTCTCTCTCTCTCTCTCTCTCTCTCTGTGGCTCATACGCTACCTCAAAGGTCCACTTGATATTTGGGTTGTACCCCTTGTATCCACTTGATAGCTGTGTCGTGCCATCAATGTTTCCTATTTCAGCAGGAGGGGGGGGGCACATGTAAGCATGTCAAGAGAAATCTAGCGCTGTAGCTGCAGTAGCACTAGTTCGGTTGCTGTGTTGATCACATCATCCACACGCGCACACATCCATCCACAATACGACAACATATCAGCACCTTAGTCTACCGTAATATTGCCGAAGCATAGCACGGAAAGACGGACAGACGGCCAGAAAACACAAGCGAGAATATCTGTATATGCCCGCCGAAAACAAGGAACAAGCAAACGCACAACCACTTGTGCCCAGACCTACGCTGGGAAGCTAGCAGGAACACGCTAGCCTCACCAGGGAGGACGCGGGCTGCAGGCATAATTCAACAAACACCCATGCACAGAAAGATTATAAGCCGCATAGTACTAATTCTCTTCCAATCGAACGGGCACAAAAGGTAGTCGGCTGTTCCTTCGCACTTCTGGCGGCGCAACGACAGAATCAAAAGCTACCACCAGCAACTCTTTGAGTCCACGACCTTCTCAAGAGAAACCTTTCAAAGAGCAATCAAAGGACCTGAAAGTGCTAACCTGTAGGAAGCTCGCCGGCAGAGCCAGTATGAACGCCACAACAAGAATGCAGGTGTCCTTTCTCAGGCACTTAGCCCATTCCGACTTGTGTGCCTTGCATGTCCTTGCGGATGACTCTCGTGTTTGGAGTGAAGCTGGGCCACCGAGTTTCTCAAGAGCACTGCAATTATCGGAGTCAAAGCCTTCTATTTTTGGGGCCAATCGCTCTTGGGTCCTCAAGAGACTAAGAGACTGTAGCAAATTACGCCGAGTTTCAGAAGAGCGGAGACCCGAAGCTGAAACCCTGCACGAATGACAGCAGAGCCTGGACAAATCAGGCCTGCGGCAGCTGGAAGTGCGGCTGTCTTTGCCTCAAGATATTCCTTGGATGTTGAGTCAGATTTGGCGTTTCTGCGTTTAGGCTTCGGAGGGGCCAGGGTTGAAGTATTGAGAGATATTTAGAGCGAAGGGCTGAACCAAAAAGGTAAAGGATCGAGGGCCAGGATTCAGGCAGGGGTTGGGAGAGGCAGGTTTAAGTCGTCCCGGTTTCCGGATGAAGGGGTGTGGTCCCGAAGACCAATGTGCTGCAGGGCACTATTGCGATGTTGAAGTACTGTGCGCACGGTTTTGAGATCTTTGCCCAGCCCGGAACCCAGACGTCTAATCCCCAAAGCCACTTGCCAACAGCTCACTTTACAAGCAGGCTGCGTGGAGTTGACGCGCACGACGGTTGGGGTGTATCGCCTGAGTGCGCAACGAAACCATGTTCCCTTGTGGCTCAGCTCTTCAAAGCTGCTTGCACGCGTTGCTTCTGGGGCTTCGCAATCCAGTGTCTGACAAGCGCGAGCGCAAAAACCACATGTGCTCTTGGAGTTTGCCTGTTGCTGTGCCGACTTTTCACCGGCTGGGGGGTGACTTCCCGCCTGTACTGCAAGCGCCATGTATAAAGCTGGTAGCCCGACAGCCACGCCTGCGCGCTCATAAGGCCGGTTGCGGAAGATCGAGTGAGCATTGAGCCGGCGAAACGGAAATCATCTTCATAAGTCTGTCCTTGACAAGCTGCTACCTATAACCGATTGCTACCCCGCATATATGTCGACCACGGTTGGAAGCAAGGCGGCTGAGATCAACGCCGGCAGACGGAGACCCCAGCAGGAAGAGCTGCGGCGAGCCAAGACAGGGATTCGGTCCGCGGTTTTGGCAGGTTCAGCTGGGTCTTCAGGGAACCGATACGGGAGTTCAAGAGCGCAGGATGCAGAGCCCACAACAACAACAGAGGCCCAGGCCACGGGCCGAAGAGTTCTCATAGTAAGCTCTAAAGCCAATATCCAGAATCGCCCAAAAGGCCGCGAAGATCAGGCGCAATTCTCAGCCCCTAATCAAAGGCCCCCTAAACCTTCCGAACCTCCAACATCCAAAAAGGCCCCCCACCAAAAGAAGGGGGGCCTTGTGGGGCAAGGCCGTGTCAATGTTATTCTTGGCAGAGCCACTTGTTGCCCTGGTGGTCATGGCTTCTTTGAGGTGCTGAGAAGGCATAGAAACCCTAAACCCTTTGAACCCTAAACCCTAAAACCATACGATAACCAGCATGAGCTATTAGACACAAAAAACCCTCAAAAAAGGCCCTTTCTTGGATTGGTTCGGGGGATAAGGCCTCACAGCCCATCCTGGTAAACCTTAGAAGAGTAACCCTAAACTTAAACCCTAAACCCTCAACCCTAAACCCTAAACCCTTACAGAACATAGAGCAAAGGCCTCCTTGGAAGCGGCGCCAGAGAAGGCGGCAGGAGTGAAGCTCACTGGAGTGCAGGGGGCTTCATTCAGAGCATAATTTTGGGGGTTTAGGGTATTTAGGCGCGGGAAGAATGTGCGAAAGGGTGGGTGCTAGGGGTCCTAACACATCAGATTGAAGCTTTTAAATGTTCACAAGTTAGCTCAGTGCGTCTAGACCGGGAGGCTTTATGCGCGAACCTCCGCGCGACACCAACCCGTAAAGGCAGCAGCTGCCATCGGATGCATGGTGCAGGATGTGCTCGTTTGGGTCATGCGGAGGATCGTGTAAACAGCCCTCGTGTGATGATGCGGTCATTGATGGCGCGACAAAAGCTCTGGCTGCAGCTGGCCAAAGCCGTAAGCCCCAGATCCTTGACCCCGCTTCAGGTTTATTCGGATTTGCAGCAAAAGCTCGCGCAGGTGCTAGCCAAATAGCTACTGTTTAAGCACCCGTTTGTGGCTTGCTGAAATTGGACTTGATCTCCAATCCAGAGCGAAGGCCTCAGAAGGGCAAGCGCATGGTCTGCACACTAAGTGCTAAGTCTGAGCTTATAAACTCTGGGAGCTCTGAATTCGCTAATTGAGCCCTAAACTCTTCAAGCCGACGTCTTAGTCAGAAGCGGTCCAAGCTTACACCCCAACGCTTAGCGTCCTCGCTTAGCGTCCTTAGTCGGTGGTTGCCCACATCCCGAAAGCACCGAATGCCTTCAAAGAACCCTTCAGCCCCACCATTGATGGGGCGTGGGGCTTATCCTTCCAGAGTATGGTTCTTGGTAGTGGTAGCGTCAGGGGTAGTGGTTGTGGTGGTGGTGGTGATCGTGGTGGCGGTGGTGGATACTTTCTGTTGTTACTTATTGATTTCTTGTTTTTTTTTTTTTTTTTTGGGGGGGGGGGGGGGGGGCTGCATGGCCTTAGCTAGTCAGATGCCGCAGACCCTGGCTTAATTTCCAAGTGTGGCGGCTTGAGCCCCATGCCCCAATCAGCTTCAGATTCCAAAGCTCGAAGCTTGCACCCAACTGTACCCAAGCCTCCAGCCGATATATGCTTTCGCTATCCCTAGACCCTAAACCCTAAACCCTAAACCCGGGGTTGCAACATTGTAGGCTCTAGGGGCATGTCATCGGCGTGTCTATGGGCATCCTGGCCATGCCCTACTTAGCCTCAGAAACCCTGAACCTCCAAAGTTGTATTCTCCCCCTCTGGCCGATGGCTGCAGTAAAGCCGCCGCTGCCTGCGCCTTTGCCTCCCGTGCGCAGAAACTCTTTGGTGAGGAACAGGTGGGCTCCCCAAAAGCCCTGGGCAGGAGTTATCTAATTCCGGTGACAGTCACTGACACGTGTTTTTCAAGAGTCAGAGGTAGGGCTTAGTAGAGCAGGAGCCCCTACAAACCGATTCTTTTCAAGTCCAACACTGTTGAGGCGCAACTCGGATCCCATTTGACAAGCCCTTTTGCCGGAGAAGACAATGGCTGACCCTCTTATACTAGCAGTCCTTAATAGGGATTATAGTACCCCCTATTACAATCCCTATTAAGGACTGTTAGTATAAGGGGGAACATCCCAAGTCATATACCCCTAAACTTCTGAACCCTGAACTTTTGAACCATAGAGGCAGAGAGCCCTGAGCCTCAACAATTACTGCGCAACTCTCCTAAACCCTAAACCCTAAATTCAAACCCTAAACCCTAAACCCTAAACCCCAAACCCTAAACCCTAAACCCTAAACCCTAAAACCTAAACCCTAAACCCTCACCCTAAACCCTACAGCCTAAACCCCAAATGCAACTCTCCAAAGTCATCGACAGGCAGTTAGCCCGGCTGCAGTCGCGTAGGGTACCCAGCTTTCACCGGGAAGGGCCTCGGCTCAGCTTGTTCCAGGGACTTCGGCTTTGGTATTTCTTGGCCCCTAAACCCTCAACCCTAAACCCTAAACAAGGATGAATGAGTTGGGGTTTAAGGTTGCTAGGAGGGTGTTGGAATATACCGTGCTGAGAAGATGGCGGAAGTTGGGGACAGCTCCCGTCAGCAGCAGAGCCATGCAAGGCAGCACCCCCTAAGCCTGGAAGCCATGGAAGCCCTGGGAAGCCCTGGGAAGCGCAGAGATGCGCAAAGAAGAGCAACGTCCAGCGCGCCGTCCTGAATCACAGGGTTATGCATCTTCTCCGGCGGCCTCGCTGCAGGTGCGAGATGTGACATGGTATCGGTGTTGCAGTCGGGGTTCAGGTATGAGAACCGGTCCCCCCACCTGCCATGGCAAGGTGAATCATCATCATCATCATCATCATCATCATCATCATCATTTCGAGTCGAGGGTTTAGGGTGCTGGAAACACTTCGTCCCCATCTCCCTGCATCCCCGTTGATAAGGCTTTTGAAAAGCCTCAAAACGGGATGGATGAGTAGCTGCACCCCCTTCTTGTGGTTTTGCGGGCTGAATTGGTCCCGAAAACATTATTGCCCTTGAGCAATACACCAGTTTCTGAGCGCTAGAAGAGGCCTGAATCCCCAAGTTCCGACCCCAGAACCATATGCCTGAAGACCGTAAGGGCCAGCATCCCCCCCCCCTAAACCCTAAACCTTAAGCCCTAAACCCTAAACCCTAAACCTTCACATCGCCAGTCGACTTAGGCCTTGGACAGCTCTGGGACGAGCTCCGAGCTGCCAGCCAGCGGTTGAAGGGACTGAGGGGTGTAGAGTTGCCCAAGCTTCAAAGCCTCTCAAGGGATTGTATGTACAGCGGCCCGAACAGAAGCCACAACCTCCCTGACCCTATTGAGAAAGGATGGCCACGCAAGTGTGTTTGGTTCGGGTTTCTGAGGCTTTGTGGTTCGTGGTGTTGTTGTCTGGGGCTGTTTTTGTGTCGCGGCTCCAACGTTCTGTTCTTACCATGAGCATTGAGTTTAGGGTTTAGGGTTGTAAGGGCTTGGGGGTTTAGGGGTTTAGGGTTTGTCCTGGCTGTTTGTTTTTAAAGCTTCTTTCTTTCATCTTGCTCCTGTACTTTGCACCTCTACGGGCCCACCGGGTGACTTCCAAGCCAAGCGAAAGTCGACCCGGGTCCAAGATCCAAGATCTGCAGGGTTTAGGGTTTAGGGTTTAGGGTTTAGGGTTTAGGGTTCTGGGGACATCTTGGGTCTTGGATCCTGGTCGACTGTTTAAGTGACTTTATAAGGATCTCCCCTAGGCCCGCGTGTATCTTGCAGGATTGGGATGCTGAATCTTCAACGTAGGCGTAGGACTCAGATGTGTTTGCCTACCAGGATGGGCTCTTAGGCCTTATAATCCTCAGAATCAACCCGCCAAAGGGTCTTGTTTTAAACGTTTATAGGGTAGAATAGCCGAATACGGGTATGCTGCCCTTTCTCTTAACCCGTTAACTCGAAAGATGAAAGCTCCAGGGTCCACCTTCGAATCAATTCCAAGGTTCCTCCTTGGCACCGGCGCCTCTTTGAGGACAAGTACTGCAAAGGCAGCCCCCGGGGGTCTGTTCTACAGGTGTGAATCAGGGATTTGCGCTGGACTCTCGGCGAATTCCTCGTCTATCATTCAAGGCGCCTCTCCAAGCCATAGCACATTCTGTGTGTTCTTTGCAGGCCGGAGGCGGCATCATCCAGTTTATGTTACGTAGGACTTCGTAGGTATCGGGCCGGGAGTGATTTTTTCATCCCCCAATCCTTGAGGCTCCGGTCTTTGGAGGGTCTATGTGGTCTAGGATCCGTGTTCAACACGGCTGGCGCGGGGGTCGCAGGTCTTGGGGTTGGGGTTAAATTGCTACATGAATAAGTCGGCTGAGAGGTTTGGGGAGGATTTGAAGGAAAAAGTCGGGTGGTCAGGCTATTCTTGCGACAACACTTTGCAGTACGGTAGAAGGGTTTGCCAGTAGTATGGACACGAATACACCTGGGCGTTGGGGCTTCGAAATACTTTGTTTGGGGTTTGGGGTTTAGGGTTTAGGGTTTAGGGTTTAGGGTTTAGGGTTTAGGGTTTAGGGTTTAGGCTTCGGGGGGGCAGTGCTTGACAATGCTTTGGTATGGAAGTCTCTGTAAGATGTTCCTTCGTTTCAGGGGCGACTCTTGGATGGCGGTTGGGTTAGCAGCCAGACCCGCGCAATTCCCACCACCCTTCGGTTCCCGTTCCCATTTTGTGGGTTGGGCTGGGCTTGAAGTTGCTGGTATGGACTCCGATATGGAACTGTTTGGCAATGGGCTACAGGGCATCAGCTCAGGTTTCGGATGCAGTCATCTACTACAGTCTACCTTGCATCTACTGATCGGAGGGTGTAAGCATTGCGATAATGCTCCCCCGATGGCATGGAATGGGATCGGCGGGTTTTCGGCTTCATTTTGTCCTTTCTGTGGCATTGAGTGAAGCAAGTTGTGCAACATGATATTGTCTTTCCCATTCTCTCCCCTTTCCTTGTGCGGAAACCCCAATGCTGTCCTGCAGTGGGACTGGCTTGGGACTTTGACTCAAAGGACTCTTTAGCTACTTCTCCCCCTCTGCGGATGGGACTTAAGGGGTTTCGGTTGAAATCGCCTGACCTTTGCCCTCCATGTGCTACAGCTCGTTTGCGATGATGTGCAGGAACAACTGGAGCCCCTGAATCCTGGTGTTTTGTGGCTTTGAGGCATGCCTACACCGCTTAAAGCTCCAACCAGCTCAAATCATCTCAAATCTCAAACCCAGACATCTCTCAAGAGGCGACTATGGTCCAGAAGTCTTGGTGCGTGCCACTTGTCAGAAACGTGCTGCTTTTACATTGTGCCGGTCTAAGAAGAATTTGGCAAGACTGCCTGCGCAAACCCCAAGTAAAAGTAGAAGCAACAATAGCATGGCAAACCTTAAAAGCACCGTTACCAGGATGGGCGATTAGGCCTTAAAATCCCCAGAATGTAGCCTATTAAGGGCATCTTAAGGGATTGTAGGGTATAATAGCCCATCCTGGTAGGGAGTAGCCCAAAGCCTGAAGGTCTGCGTTCACTCTCGACTGCAGGCCCTAGGATTCCACGAGGTTAGCTCTGCGTC